AAGATTTAACCAGATTATCAGCTGTTTTTTCTTGGCTATAATGCGATAATAAAAGATTTATTAAAATGCATTTTTTAAAAGGTCAGAAGTCAGCTTGACTAAAAGATGATATTCAAGTACACACACAAACACATTATATACATATATATTAACATATTATATATACTGTGTGTGTGTATATGTGTGTGTGTGTATATATATATACATTTTATACATATTAAGACCTTTTTGCTTTTTCTCTTTGGATCCTGTTTTGGAGATTATTATTTTCCTGTGGATGGAAATCCTTGTTTTTTATCTGCTTGTTCCCCCTGTTCACTTCCTTTCTTAAAAATTGTTCTATTATTTACTTCTATTCTTCCTGACTCCTTTTTCCTCTTTGCCATCTCAGGTACCACATAAAAGGATCTGGGAGAGACATCTAATGACTCAGACTGTTTAAGAAACACAGAAAAAGGTGCCACTGGCCCCTTTTTTTGGGTCATCTGTCCTCCTGTAAAGTCTAGAGCATCACGGACAGATTTGTCTGAGGTCTCATACTCTACCGTCTTTTGTACTGTGTTACCTGATCTCATTGGTTTTCAGGAGTACCAGAGATTACTTTGTACTGAGAGAGAACTTGATCTTAGTGAATGTGATGACTGGAGGGTCACTGGCACAGCTGCAGTTTTGGAGGTGGATGAGGGCGATTGTTTATAATAAATGGTTATTGCTACAGGACACTACTCATTTCCTTGGAAGTGTAGATGAGACAGGTGAGGTTTAAACCTTGGAGAAATGTCTTTGTAGCACAGTGCACCGCAGAAGCATTGTTTGGCCTAGTCCTGTGGTGTTTTCCATTTTTTGTGAGTGAGGAATCCAGGATTCAATGCAAAATTAGAATGCTTGATTTTAAAAAATCTAAATGCTCTGCCTTCCAACAGCTTGCTTTTCACATATTTAAATTATTCAGCTTTAAAAACTGCAAATGCTTTATTGACCCTGTTCCTTAGTGGACTCCACCTTGAGCCCATTTGGAAAACAGACACTAAATTAAAAGCTACCTATCTAAATGAAATTGGCCTCCTTATGAAATTCTAGAGTAAAGTCCTATGATTTTGTGTTGCCTTGAAATTCATTTTTAACCTTCCTCTAACATACCCAAATTCCTTCTTTAAAAATATTAAATTTTCTATCTTTGATTTGCGATGCAAATTTGCTACCCTGTTTCTCTAAAATTCAGTAAGAGCTTCAGCCACATGAAACAGATAAACGTTAACCTTTCCCATAAAGAAAGGCACAGTTTGAACACAACTGTCCTTTTAAACTAGCGAGTTTTATCTGACTCATGGCTAAAGTTTTAAAACTAAAGCTATAAGATCTTTATGACTGCCTGTATTTTTGTGTATACATGTGTCCACATCGTTTTATGTGTTGTCTATAACACCAAACTGGCTTGTAAATAAGCGTACCCACAAATTAAATAACAAACCAAATGCTTTTCAAATTCACATGATTTTAGTAATCTTTGTTAAATAAAGATAGTTTAAAAATTGTTGGTAAAATAAAATAGGAAGAGCTTCATAATTTGGACATTTTTGTCTGTGTCTGCTGGTCAGACAAGTTTATACTATCTCTGCTAGATATTTTAAGGTCATAAAACTGTAGCTTGTATGATATTTTCAAATATTTGCTTAATTTGTCTGTGAGCTTATGCCTTTGGATTTGAGCATGTAGATCTGGGATCTGGACAGATGGCCACAGTGAGGCCTGGGGACAAGTCCTCAGAGCCTAGACCACCAACTAAAAAGCAGAATCAAGCTTAGCATGGCCTCTTTCTCCCTGACCCAGCTTTTCCTCCTGGCCATGCTGGGAGGGGTCTGATCCTCCAATCATACCCTTCACAGCTCTCTCCTCTGTTCTGAGCTCTGTACTTGGCGTAGAAATTCAGGACCCAGTTGGGCCATGCTCTTCATTGCCATCTTTGGGTGCCATGTAAATATTAGGGACCTAGGGCAACTGGGGAAGACATTATAGAGGGTACCTGTTTTATAGTTTCAGAATTCCTTTCAGTAATTTAAAAGTCTTAAGATTTTGTTATGTTAGATTAAGTAACAGCTAATCATAAAATGTCTGAGTCATTTCTAAGTTAAAATACTGAAACATTAATTGCTAAACATAAATTTACATTTATGTACTTCAACATCATATTTTATATGGCATAGTAAAACTATCTAAATATATTTTTAGATCTGCTAGTCAACAGACATTGACAAAACCTCTAAGGAATAAAATGGTTTTCATCAAAAAATAATAGTATAAAATAGTTCAAAATTACTTAATTCCTAGGCTTTTCATTGAAAATTGGTTACTAGGTTAAAACTGATATGGTTTGGCTGTGTCCCAACCCAAATCTGGAATTCTAGCTCCCACAATCCCCACATGTTGTGGGAGAGACTTTAGTTATAATCCTTACATGGATTATATTTCCACTATCTCTTGTTGTTTTCCTTCTTCTGAGGAAACCAAATTGATGATACAAGATATGAACAGACACTTCTCAAAGGAAGACATTTATACGGCCAACAGACACATGAAAAAATGCTCATCATCACTCGCCATCAGAGAAATGCAAATCAAAACCACAATGAGATACCATCTCACACCAGTTAGAATGGCAATCATTAAAAAGTCAGAAAGCAACAGGTGCTGGAGAGGATGTGGAGAAATAGGAACACTCTTACACTGTTGGTGGGACAATAAATTAGTTCAACCATTGTGGAAGACAGTGTGGCAATTCCTCAAGGATCTAGAACTAGAAATAGTATTTGACCCAGCCATCCCATTACTGGGCATATACCCAAAGGATTATAAATCATGCTGCTGTAAAGACACATGCACACGAATGTTTATTGAGGCACTTTTCACAATAGCAAAGACTTGGAACCAACCCAAATGTCCATCAATGATAGACTGGATTAAGAAAATGTGGCACATATATACCATGGAATACTATGCAGCCATAAAAAGGGATGAGTTCATGTCCTTTGTAGGGACATGGATGAAGCTGGAAACCATTCTGAGCAAACTATCACAAGGACAGAAAACCAAAAGCCGCATGTTCTCACTCATAGGTGGGAACTGAACAATGAGAACACTTGGACACAGGGTGCAGAACATCACACACCAGGGCCTGTCATGGGGTGGGGGTAAGGGGGATAGCATTAGGAGATATAGCTAATGTAAATGATGAGTTAATGGGTGCAGCACACCAACATGGCACATGTATACATATGTAACAAACCTGCACGTTGTGCACATGTACCCTAGAACTTAAAGTATAATAAAAATAAATAAATAAATAAATAAATAAATAAATAAATAATGAATCTGTCGGCCAAAGCACATGAATATTTTAAAATAGATGTTGTCAGATCACATTGTTCAAAACTTTACTAATTTAAATCTTAATAATATAGACTTTCATTCTGAAATAATAAAACATTGCCTTTTTGACGTCAAAAAAAAAATTGACGATACTCTGAAGTCTAGGTACGATTCAACAAGCAACAGCAGCCATAAATCGATGACTTTGACATAACTACTTGGGAATGAGCCTTCTTGATGATGGATACCTTGATACTTAAATTTTGATCATCAATGCTGTCAAGAAGATAGATTTTTGATCAAAAGGGGGAAATAAGAAAAGAAAATAACTTTTATCTGAGGAATGCAAGTTACTTTAATTAACCAGCCCAGAGAGACATTAAAATGAAACAGCAATTAAATCCTTCTAGTCCCTCTGTGCTGTGCATTAATCTCTTGAAACTGCTTGCTATCACCATAAGTAGCTGTAACTTAACATAATGATGCCACACTGGACTCTATAACCCACACCCTAGAGCTTAACAATGGATAGCCAACCACTTGTCAATGTTATTTCTGTAAATCGATGAGAATGCCTGACAAACAACTTTGTATCAGCTCACTCCCTGTCTCCCATTTTTTCCTTTAAAAATCTACTTGTAATTGCTGCTAACTGGAGTGAATATTCACGGCAATTTGAATCTATGCTCCTGGCTTGCAATTCTCAAGCTTGGCCCAAATAAACTCCCTACTTATATTAATTTTGCCTCAGATTCTTCCTTTTAAGCTGAGAGGACAAAAAATTTAAAATGTCAAAATAGTATTTTTGATTTATTAAGGCTCAAGATAGAACAAAAATATTTTTCTTTTAAAAATAAAAACCTTAATTTGTTAAGTTTTTAAAAGTGATCTGTCAACAGGGTAATTCATAAGATAAAAAGGAGATAGGTGTATATATATCTATATGTAGATAATATACAACTAATATACATACATATACATACAATACATACAAATATATATACAAAAAGATAATATACAACTAATCATTTGTTGACAAATAAAGCTTTTGAATTATAATACATTTCCCTTTCACTTACTGTGGTCAATTTTACCTGTCATTTATCATTGTACCAGTAACACTATTTTTTGGGGGGAAAAAGACAGTAAAATGCAAGCATTAAGGGATACATTTGAAAGTAAATATTCTTCCAGTACCAAGCACATGATCAATCATGTCTTCCATGCTGAGCACATATTCTTCTCTCCGTGTGGGGGTGCCAGCTGTTTAGTGGTACATAGAGAAATCTAGTTTACCTTTAATCCAATAAATCTCATAGGGCACACCACTATAACGTATCTCAGTGATTTTCTTTCTTGGAAATGGTCTACTATATATTTAACCCCTTCTCTTTATCTCTTTAGAAATTTTAATATTTGCATAAAAATTTTCAACACACTTTTACTTAGTTATTTTTACTTGGAAAAAGTATAGCAAATTAGAATATTTAAAATGTTAAACCCTAAATATGAGGACTTTATATCAAAAGAAATGTCATTAATAATCTAATATGATAAATAACATCAAAAATCTTATTAACACATTTCTATTAAAATATAGACACTTATTATTTTTCAATTGGACTGTTACATACCTGAGCTTCTGGTTGTACTGTTTGACCTTTTCCAGTGAGGCTGCATTTATCTGAGCTTGAAATTCTTCCACGGAAACATTGTCTCTGTAATAATATCCTTCCATGCTCTCCAGTGCTGTGTAAACAAGTAAACATATTTTACAAGCAATTTTAAACTCAATTTCTCCACATGTAGTATAATTTTATTGATTATTAGTAAATTTAGCAAATAGGACCAATTATCAACACATATGCAAAAAAATTATATTAGCTCCAAAAATGAATGAAAACTGTTCTGCTCTCAAAATAAATATCAAACATTTCATGATTTTTCTGTCCAATGGGCAAAGAAAATTACTGGTTTAACTGTCCTCTATTTTTAAAAAATTTTGTATATGTTGTAGGAGACCAAAATATGCCACTCCAAAATATAACTGTAGGAGACCAGAATACACCGCCCCAAAATACGTCTCACTGGCATAAGGATTATTTTGATATGGTTATTTTGAGAAACTGCATGCAGACACAGGAGAAACTCTGAAAACAGAGTAGAAGTTTCCCTTTGATAAGGAAAATTTCCATCCATAAAGGAAACCTCTACTTGTAAGAGTGTCTCCCCCTCTGTACTAGGAAGAGAAGGAAGACGATCACAGAGAGCTTTATCTGCACAACACATCTTACCCTTTTTTTAATGGTGCTTTCCTGGTCACCTCCCCATAACTAGGCTTTCCCTTGACCCTTCTGTTTCAGTAGAAAATAGTTATATTTAAGTCTAAGTTCAAAGCTACCTCTTTCAGATATAGTCACTTTTCCTTAGGTATCTCGCATATAGACATGAGGTATACATGTTATTAAACTTCTGTTTGCTTTTCCCTTGTTAACTTGTCTTTTGCTATGGGGATCATCCCAACTAAGAACTATGAAAGGTAGAGAGAAAATTATTTTTCCTCCTCTACAACGTTCTTTGTGAAGCTAAACTTACACTTCCGATGTATTTGATATTTATACACACATGTCTATTACATATGACACATATATGTTCATATTTGGAACATATGTATGAAAGGCAGAAGTGTGCATTAATGTATGTCAGGGGCCTAGCACGGTGGCTCATGTCTGTAATTCTAGCACTTTGAGAGCCAAGGCAGGTGGATCATTTGAGATCAGAAGTTTAAAACTAGCTTAGGCAACATAGCGAGATTCTGTCTCTAAAAAAATAAAATTTAAAAATTAGCCTGGCATGGTGGCATGCACCTGTAGTCCTAGATACTCAGGAGGCTGAGGTGGGAAGATAACTTGAGCCCAGGACTTCGAAGCTGCAGTAAGCTAGGATCGTGCCACTGGACTCCAGTCTAGAGGACAGAGTAAGACTCTGTCTCTTAAAACAATCGTAACAACAACAAAAACATGTCAGAGTAAAAAAAAGGAAATTTTCACTCCCCATGCATATTCACATTCTTGTATAACCTTAATAAAGAAATGTTAACGTATTAAATAAAAAGTATAAATTGAAATCTTAGAAAATCACCTCTACTCAAACTGTCAGTTAATTTAGTTATAATATCCCACTAATTTTAAATGTATTTTGAATAGCATACACATTTCCTTTTTAATAACATTTTTGATTCAGTATTTCTTTTTCCTTTAACATTTATGAAGTATCATTTAAAACATTTTGGAGAGGAAATAAATCGCAGGAAAAGGGCCCAGAAATACAAGATTTCCTGTGGAAAGGTTGCCAGTAACAGGAATGGCTGTGGGTCCAAGTTGGAAATGTAAATTATTTTCTCTTGAAATGCATCACTACTTATGAGCCTCAATTTTTAATAAACGATTTAAAATTCAAAACAATCTTCTTTCAAGACTGCTAAATGCACTAGTTTCTAAACTAAATCATGAGGTTTCTTTAAAGTGAAAGAAACTATCACCATTTTGAAGGGAGGGAAATAGGAAACTGACTGCTAATTTTAGCTGTGCTATAGTTTTATTAAACTAGTCAGAATTCTAGAACACTGAAGAAAATAAAAAAATTTTAAAGATCCATGTCAAATTTGCAGATTGTTTTTAAATGGAAATTTTAAAAATTGGTTTACAGTTGAGAAAAGCAATTGTGGAAGATAAGGGAGAAAAAACACTACATTTACTTCAGTACAGGAAATGAAATTTGTGTGCTTATTTCACAGATTTTTAATTTGTTTATTTCTTATGGCTTCTGGGAAGGAACCCAGGAAACTTTACCCTTAAAATATGACACCCTGGTATACTGATTACTTTAAATTAAAGGCTTCTGCAAGTCAGCAGATACTGGATGAGGCTTTTCTCTGATATGCCCTATCTACCTTAAGTCTAGATCTGCAAAAGAGAACACAATTGCTTTCCCTACCCTCCCTGGAAATCTCATTATCTATGCTAGAAAAGAAGACTGTGGAAGGTAACCCATCTAGAAGGATTCTTCCCATAAGATAATATCTATTTCTCCAGCTCATTCAAATTCCAAGACAATCATTTACAAGTTAATTTCTGTCTCCCGGGCCCATTCATTCTCCCTAATAAACATTTTACGACCTCCTACATTCCCCATCTTCCCCATCGCCTATGAAGAAGGGTATATAAGTATCTGGACCTCACCGAGTTATTGGGTAATCACTCTCCCATGATTTTTATAAATTTTGTATGCTTTAAATTAAATTAAATAAATTTTGTATGCTTTGTTTCCTTATTAATCTGCCTATTGCAACTTCATTTTCAGCAACCTTTCAAAGGGAAAAGGACAGGCTTTCTCTCTTAGAGCCTACATTTTCATTAATTACAATAGTTGTAACTGGTTCAACAAACTTCTGGTCCTGAATACACACAGAAAATAAAAGAAACTGTCCCTGATAAAATAATCCTTAAATACATGCCATGTTCACAAGCTGCTATTTGTGAAGGGATTCAGTCTACCAATAGTCATACTTCAAGATAAATTACTCTTACCAGTTGGAAAGCTGATGCATTAGAGTAAAATTCCAGTTTCTGCTGTGTGAGTTTGGTCAAGTTAATTAATATCTGAAATTCTCAGGTTCTGCATTTTCGACTTGCAAAATAAAAGTACCTACCAGTTATGGTTAATGAGAAAGAATTTAATTAAATAATAGTATTAAGACAGCTCATGAGTATTCTTACTTATTGAATGAGTTTTATTTACTAGGCAACATGCCAAATGCTGTACGGGTACTACCTAATTCAATTCCAATGAGATACTGATTATGCAGAGTGTGCTTAGCCAAACACAAAGTTTGTGGGACTAAGAGAAGGGTCCATGCAAAACCACTTTGATTTGTGACTTAAAACCAGAAAAACTGGAAGGAGAACAGTGGGATGGCACAGCAGCGGAACTGTGAGGGTAAGGGAGGAGACCACTCCTCATATTGTCTTATGCCCAATTTCTGCCTCCAAAGAAAGAAGAAGTAAAAAGTAAAAGGCAGAAATGAAATCCACAGGCAGACAGTCCAGCGCCATACCCTGGGCCTGGTAGTTAAAGATCAACCCCTGACCTAATTGGTTCTGTTATCTATAGATTACAGACATTGTATAGAAAAGTACTGTGAAAATCCCTCTTGTTTCGTTCCGATCTAATTACGGGTGCATGCAGCCCCCAGTCACGTACCCCCTGCTTGCTCAATCAATCACGACCCTCTCACACACACCCCCTTACAGTTGTGAGCCCTTAAAAGGGACAGGAATTGCCCTGTCTCAGGAGCTCAGCTCAGCTCTTGAGACAGAAGTCATGCTGATGCTCCTGGCCGAATAAACCTCTTCCTTCTTTAACTCGGTGTCTGAGGAGTTTTGTCAGCCGCTCGTCCTGCTACAAGGGGAGAGGGCTGGGAACTAATTTTTATAAAGATCTTGATGGTTCAACTTTGGCCAGAATGGTCAGTTCTGTCCCAAATTTTATATAAGAACAAGTATATAAACATAATTTAATATAATTTTAATGAATAGTTCTACAATTTCATAAATTTCCATCTTCATTACATTTTTGACAATATTATTCCAAATTAACAAGTCAGTTAAAATTCACAACCACATAAAATTTTTTGAAAACTGGAAAAGTGCCTAACAATTTTGCCAAGAGTCTTAGTAAGAATTCTGTGTCACATTATAGAGTTGTGGGGAATGAACAAAAAAAGATGAGTTTTATATTTAAAAACTAAAATTTGTATGACAGAGAAGAGGAAAGATGACAACATTCCCTATTTTAGCTAAATAACTTGTTTATTTATTGTTATGAAAAACCCAGAACAACATTCTACCAAATTAAATAACATGTTAATTTCAAACATGTTAAATTTGGCATTTCCTTGTCTAGTTTCCTTAGTTCTCATCCATAAAATGATATATTTCTCAAAAGCAGTATCAATGTACTTGGTTGAATATTTAGTTTATTTACTTCTACTACTTTTCAAGCAAAGGAAGAAAAACATTCCATTAAATTTAGGTAGTCAGCAAAAAAGGAAAACCTAATGAATGTTAGAGAAAATTAAAGATTAAATTATTCTTAGACTGAAGCAAGCTACATTTCCACTTACTCAAAATACCTTTCAAGGCTTTCCCAAGAAAGGGATTAATCGGGAAAAACACAGAATCTCTGAAGAATAATTTTAAGAATAGTGTCAGTCTGCTAACACTCTCTTTTGATAGCACACTTTTTTGGTTAAATAAGACACGGCACATGCACTGCTAGAATTCCCCAGAAATGGTCACCACGGGTCACAATTCCTCAGAATTGGTCCCAGTTATTTGGAGAGAAGCAAGATTTGTTGATCCCATTATGACAAATATGTGAGAATGGCCGTGTGATATATAATAATGTTTTGTGATTCTAAATGTCTCAAAATGGAGTCATTTATAACAAGTCACTCAACCCACAGTGAAACTGCTGACTCTTCAAAGTGATAAGCACATGTATGGTGGACTGAGGTGATAAGATGACACCTGCCATGGCCAGGCACCTCAGAGACCCCACAGGAAAGTGAAGCCAAAGGCGGCTGAGATAATGACTATGAACACACTCCTGTGGAGAGCCATAAAAACAGCAAGAAACTGACAATGGTTGAGATGCCTGCAGAAGCTTTGCCAGGAGAACTCTGAGGC